TTCACAGTAATATTTTTATGTTTGTTACAGCAATAGCCTTCACAACATATTTTAGTAAAAGGTTCACATAGGAGTGGGTATTATCCCTTTGATTCCATTTGTTTCCTTACTACATTTTTTTTAAAAGCCTTAACAAGAGCAACAGGAAGCAGTAGCCGTTTTCACTTTTTTTCTTGTCCATTAAGATAGTGGTACAGATTGGAAGAGAGGAGAACAGACAGAAGAAAGGACTGGAAACAGAATCTGGAAACCCTTTTCAGATTTAACCAGTATTAATATATTTCTTATTTACATCATGGCTGTATTCCTTCACAATGGAGAGTTGTGCAAAATGGGCTTCCCCTTATAAGAAAAAAAATTCCAACTTAGAAAATTCTTTAGGTGTGAGACACTTATTTATACCCTTTGGGGAAGTACAGTTTGGTAATGCAATTGTTTTCTTGTAGCCTTCCTTTCATTCCTTTTCCCTTTCATTTTCAGAATCAAGAAGTTGTTCATATGTTCAGAAGTAAGTATGTTGTAATTTAACAGATTTACATAAGAAGCTCCATCCTAGAAGAAAGCTCATAGGTACTTTGGAAAGTCAGTTGTTTCACTACTGATTTAAGTTTTTGACTGCATCTTGAGTTACAGAGACATATGCTGTATACTCATTGTCATTTTAGTGGCAAAATGGCAGATTATAATATTACATTTTTAAGTATGAAATGAAGGCTATAGGAGTGCATTAAGCCTCTGATAGGCTTAACATACCTGTTCTAATAACCCCCAAGAGACTAAAAAGGCTTCCTTATTCAGTTACATCACTATGTCTTCTTGCAAGTGGATTTCCATTCATGCACTCTTCCTATCTGTAGTTTGGGGGGACAGGAAGCATGGATGCTGAATCAAGTCCATTAGTTAATTCCATCTTATCAATGGACAAATGGAGTCCAATATAAGTCAGTTTTCTACTTTCCTATTTTGAGGATTTGTTTACCTTTGTAGTTTGTATCAGTTTTCAGAAGAACAAATGATTTATGATGAAAATATGCCTTAATATTACATCATTATAAACTGGAATCCCTGAGAAGTGGGAAAAAAATTTCTGAATGGGTATATGGAAAATGAAGTTATCACAATTTTTTTTAAATAAGGACCATGCAGAGCAACTTTTCTTCCTCTTCTGTACTTTCTTCATGAATGAAAGATAGACACTCAGAGTTAATATTTCTCCTCCACATTTCTTTGTGGTGGAATTTGGGAAATATTGTATGGCACACATGTAATGATATATATCTAGCAGCCTCAACTGCTTAAAGCTAAAATACCATTAGTAAACTGCAGAGGTTCCTGTTTTGACTTGTAGAATGGAAGAACGGTTGAAAAAACTCTGCATAAGATATATATTACTTTGTGTTTTTCACACAGTGCTTTGGGGTGAAATGTTACTTCATTTGTTTCTTTTCTTCTCATTTTATTGATTGTGACAAAATGAAGAATCCCAAGAGTAGGTAAAGCAAACAAAAGCATCCTAAGTGTATGTTTGAACACTGTATATACCTCCTAATTACTAGGATGCAGGCAATAGTATGTTGGCTTGCAAGATAGTCTCTAGATTAGAAATCTTAACTTTCATAGAATAGCATGAGAATGTTTGCAGTAAGACTTGCTTTGGTTACACTTGTGGCATATTGAGCCAAATTTGTCAAAATTGACCAGCACTGTCCTTACCGGGAATGTTACATACGGGACACTGACGTAGTCTATACCTTTTTCCTCTTACTAAAAAGTATAATGTGAAAGTCCCAGTTAACCAAACCATGGCCAATATCTACAGGCCTATTTGATAATGATCACAGCATATGGAAGACTGTGATTAGGAATGGAGGAAATATAAAGGTAAAGAAGGTGACTTTGCAAATAAAATGAAAGAAATGTGTGATTGTGGAACTAAGAGAAAAGGGAAGGTTTTAATAGATGTGAGTGAAAGTGGTCTGATACTGTAGAGTGCACTTTGTAAATATACGCAGGGAAGTGTAGGTACACATTTAATTATGAATGAAATGTATGTCTGAAAATATAAGGTGGTGATATCTAAGTAGTTATGGATGTGTATAGAAGTAGGAATCCATAGGTTGGTGATAATTGTATGTTAACGTTCTAGTGAGTGGTGATAATGGAGGAACCAGAAATGTACAAGGGCAACTTGGAGACTTCTTTATCTGAGGTAGCTACATAGATCTAATAGTTCTATCTAGCAAGTCAACACTGCTGTTTTCATTGTTACAGTTGTTCTGCATGCAGATTGTCTTTGCCCTTCTGTGTGTCAATTACACCATCTCTTTTTGTTTACTATTTATATCCTATTTATTTATTTATATGTCAAATTTATATCACCGCCCAACTCG